GTTTTAAAGTCAGAATTAAAGGCGGTTGACGGGCCTTGGAGAACTGGGTGAGCAGACGAGCTCTTCCCCACGTGGCGTGATGCGAGCGATCCCGCGTGGATGGCCCGTCCCTGCGCCGGGTGCCCTGCGGCCAGCGGGTCCCCACCCAGAGCTCAGCCTCGAGGACACCGTGAGCCACTGCCCAGCAGGCGACCTGCAGCACGGCCTTCTCCGCGGTCTCCTCCTGGGTCCGAGGCGGCAGGGGAACAAGATGAGGCCAGCGGCCCCGCCCCAGTGCACCTGCCCAGACGCGGTGATGAGGGCGCTCTCAGCGTTGCCGCCTCTAACCGGACGCTGCTGCTGTTCTTACACAAGAGGCGCTTCCCCCGAAGGCATGTCTAGCTCTTCCCATGGAAACCACCCGCCTTCCCAGCCTGAAGGCACAGGGGTCTCCTGTGGGGGGCGAGGCCTGCGCCTCCAGGCTCGGCGCGTCATCCATTCCCGGCCTCAGTGGGAAGGGCCAGGCTGGGGGACAAGCCCTGAGCCGCAGCCACTGCCTCTCCTGCCGGGGAACGTGTGCTCGTCCCCACGCACCCACTCAGGACGCGCTCGCGAGCGCGGTGCAGGGCGACACTTTCCCTCCGAAGGTGTTCGCTGCTTCTCGCCCAGGGCGTCCCCGCAGCACTGTGTCCCTTCAATTCCCACCCACTTTCCCGCTGCGACAGCCGGCCCCTCGCAGAGCCAACCCCACGTGGTCACACTGGCCCCATGTCAAGCCCACACGTGGAATGCCTGCTGCCTGGGAGCCCACACGTGACATGCCCACTGCCTGAGAGCCCACACGTGCGTGGCTCAGTGGTTGAGCGTTGACCCGTGAACCAGGAGGTCACGATTCCCAGTCCGGCACATGCCCAGGTTGCGGGCTTGATCCCCAGTGTGGGGCATGCAGGAGGCAGCAGATCAGTGATTCTCTGTCATCATTGATGTTTCTCTCTCCCTCTCCCTCCCGCTCTGAAATCAATAAAAACGTATTTTTTAAAATGGCCTCATCTAGTTTACTCGACTTCTCAAAAGGGAGAAGCACGTTTCCCATCGCTTCTGAGCAAGTCATCACCCGGCTCTGCACCCACCTTCCTCAGCCCCCGCCTTGGCCTTGAGGCTGCTCATGACGGCTTCCTGGGCGGATCGAGTTTCCCTGGGAAGATGCTTTTCCAGGGAGAAACCAGGAACACGAAGACCCTGGCTTTCCCAGGAATAAGACAGAGCGGCTGCTTACCTGGGTGTGTGGACCATCTCGTTCTCAGGCGTCTTCCCAGGCCCCAGGAGGCCGCGCGGTCCAGGCAGGCGGGCTGTCGGTCCCCACCACCGCCTGGCAGGGCTCGCGAGCAACATGGAACCAGCGCCTCCTCGAGGCTGGACACAGGACCATCTTCCGAGAGCTGGTCCAACCCGTTTCCCTCCCCCCGCCCCACATTCACCTGGCAAATCCCTTGGGAAGAAGCAATGGGGTGTCTTTACTATGGTCATTTCGGTCAAGTTCAAGCTCAGAAGGACAGCCATTAGGATGGAATTATGAGTAGAAAGTCTTCGTTTGTTGGCTGCATTCCACATGAGCACCGTGAGCTGTCACGGGAACTTAAGGATCCTTTTCATTACAGACTGACTTTTCACACCGCCCCAAACCACGGGCGGCAGAGACAAGTGGGTGTTCACATGTAGCTCCAGCCCCAGCGCAGGCATGTGCACGCGTGTTCCCCAATACTCTTTTCTAAGGATGAATACGAAAATAGTTGGGATTGCAGTGCGCAGTCTGGGTGAAGGGCTCGCTCGCCGTCACACTAACTGTTTGTCATGCTGCACACGGTTCCCATGGCCCGGCCGCTAGTGACTGCGTGAAAAAGGGTTGAATTGGAGCGGAAAGTGGCAACGCAACACGTATGAACTCAGCGTGCAGCGGGCCAGGAAGCCCTGGGAGGGTGTCAGTTAGAAACCCGCTGAGCAAGGTGGGAGTAGAAGGATCATACCTCAACATAATAAAAGCCATATATGACAGGCCCACAGCCAACATCATACTCAATGGACAAAAACTAACACCATTTCCCCTAAGAACAGGAACAAGACAGGGATGCCCCCTCTCACCACTCCTGTTCAACATAGTACTAGAAGTGTTAGCCATTGCAATTCGGCAAGAAGAAGAAATAAAAGGCATCCAAATTGGAAAAGAGGAAGTAAAACTGTCCTTATTTGCAGACGACATGATATTATACATACAAAACCCTAGAGACTCCATCAAAAAGCTACTGGACTTAATACATGAATTTGGCAATGTAGCAGGATACAAGATTAACCCCAAGAAATCCGAGGCATTTCTATACACCAATAGTGAACTTTCAGAAAGAGAGATTATAAAAACAATCCCGTTTACCATCGCACCAAAAAAATTAAGCTACCTAGGAATAAACTTAACTAAAGAGGTAAAAGACCTCTACTCAGAAAACTACAGGACGTTGAAAAGATATAGAGGAAGACATAAACAGATGGAAGAACATACCGTGTTCATGGATTGGTAGAATCAACATCATTAAAATGTCCATACTACCCAAAGCAATCTATAAATTCAACGCACTTCCCATTAAAATACCAATGGCATACTTCAGAGATCTAGAACGAACTCTCCAAAAACTCATCTGGAATAAAAAAAGACCTCGAATAGCTGCAGCAATCCTGAAAAAGACCAAAGTAGGTGGGATCTCAATACCAGATATCAAGATGTATTACAAAGCCACTGTTCTCAAAACTGCCTGGTACTGGCACAAGAATAGGCATATAGATCAATGGAATAGAATAGAGAGCCCAGAAATCGGCCCAAACCAATATGCTCAATTAATATTTGACAAAGGAGGCAAGAACATACAATGGAGCCAAGATAGTCTCTTCAATAAATGGTGCTGGGAAAATTGGACAGATATATGCAAGAAAATGAAACTAGACCACCAACTTACACCATACACAAAAATAAACTCAAAATGGATAAAGGACTTAAATGTACGACAGGAAACTATAAAAATTCTAGAAGAATCCAAAGGCAACAAAATCTCAGACATATGCCGAAGCAATTTCTTCACTGATACAGCTCCTAGGGCACTTGAAACTAAAGAGAAAATGAACAAATGGGACTACATCAAAATAAAAAGCTTCTGCACAGCAAAAGAAACCATGAACAAAACAACGAGAAAACCCACTGTGTGGGAAAACATATTTGCCAATGTCATATCCGATAAGGGCCTAATCTCCAAAATTTATAGGGAACTCATACAACTTAACAAAAGGAAGATAAACAATCCAATCAAAAAATGGGCAAAGGACCTAAATAGACACCTTTCAAAAGAGGACATTCAGAAAGCCAAGAGACATATGAAAACATGCTCAAAGTCACTAATCATCCGAGAGATGCAAATCAAAACAACAATGAGGTACCATCTCACACCTGTCAGACTGGCTATCATCAACAAATCAACAAACGACAAGTGCTGGAGAGGATGTGGAGAAAAAGGAACACTTGTGCACTGCTGGTGGGAATGCAGACTGGTGCAGCCACTATGGAAGACAGTATGGAGTTTCCTTAAAAAACTGAAAATGGAACTCCCATTTGACCCAGTGATCCCACTTCTAGGAATATATCCCAAGAAACCAGAAACACCAATCAGAAAGGATATATGCACCCCTATGTTCATAGCAGCACAATTCACCATAGCTAAGATCTGGAAACAGCCTAAGTGCCCATCAGTAGATGAATGGATTAGAAAACTGTGGTACATCTACACGATGGAATACTATGCTGCTCTAAAAAGGAAGGAACTCTTACCATTTGCAACGTCATGGATGGAACTGGAGAGCATTATGCTAAGTGAAATAAGCCAGTCAATGAAGGAAAAATACCACATGATCTCACTCATTCATGGATAATAGAGACCATTATAAACTTTTGAACAATAATAGATACAGAGGCAGAGCTGCCTCAAACAGATTGTCAAACTGCAGCAGGAAGGCCGGGGAGGGTTGGGGGGCAGGAAGTGGGGGGGTAAGAGATCAACTAAAGGACTTGTATGCATGCATATAAGCATAACCAATGGACATAAGACATTGGGGGATAGGGGAGGCTAGGGGACTGTCTAGGGCGGGGGGATAAAATGGACACATATGTAATACCCTTTGTAATACTTTAAGCAATTAAAAAAAAAAAAAAAAAAAAAAGAAACCCGCTGAGACGGGAAGACGCCCAGCCCAGGTTTTTCAGTGGAAATAAGAAGGCTGCCAAGTAATTACTTCTAGGGGGCGATCTTTGTTTTTCCCTTTCGCCATCGTTACCCTCCGTAACGAGATGCGTGGACGGATAATTCTGTTGTAACAAGAAGAAAAGCATGAGAGAAACTGCAGGGGAAGCGTGAGTGGAGATCTGGTGCTAACAGCATCCTGGGAAACGCCGCGGGCCACAGCGTGGGGCTGGCCCGAGCCCCGGACCGGAGGAGGCAGTCGCCGTCCGGGCCGTGCGGAGGGCTCCGGGACCCCGTGGGCAGGGGAGCCCCTGGGCCGCCCGGGAGGAGGCAGTGTGAGAAAGGACCTTAGTGTAAAAGGAAAACCATGAGGGTTTGGACATAAAAACGCCTGTCGCCTCAGACTGACCGACCTCAGAGGGAGGCGGGGGTGGGCGGCGACTGACCAGAGAACGTATGTGCATATTCATAGCCCACAGACAGACAGGGTGGTGGAGGCCTGGGTGTGTGGGTGTGTGGGTGTGTGTGTGTGTGTGTGTGTGTGTGGGTGTGTGTGTGTGTGTGGGGTGTGTGTGTGTGTGGGGTGTGTGTGTGTGAAGGGGGAGCCAGGGGACAGCAGCAATACTGGCCACAATAAAAGCCGCTGTTGTCTCAGGGAGACCCCTCAGGCCGCGGGGAGGCCCCTGTGGGTCCTGGCCCCTCCCGCACCCCCGCGTTCATGGAAAAGAGCTTCACAGGCGACTCGGAGGCGCTCAGGTGCTTTTATTGACAATTTGAACAGAGCCTCGGCCCGTCCCCGAGCGCCTTCCTGGGGGAGAGGACAGGCCTGTGTACATTCTGCGGCCGAGTTCACGCTCCGGCCGTTTACAGCAGCCGGCGCGTCACATTCGGGCGCAGAGGCTGGCTTTTCTCACGCACTCCAAGGATCCGCGTTCTCTTCCGGAAAAAGCAGGCAAACCCAACCACCAGGGGAGGAGCGGGGACGGGGCCTCCTGTGCCTGACGCGGGGAGCAAACCCCGGCCGCGGCGCACCTGACAGCGCGGACCGAGGACCCGAGGACGTGGAACGCGGCGCCCACGTGGCGAGGGGCCGTCCGTGTGTCACGTGGGGGCGGGGGGGGGGGGTCAGTGCCGGCAGCTGCTGCTGGGATTGTCGGACGGACGCCGGCCTGAGCGTTGCAGACTGAGCAGCGACGCCGGCCTTGGCGCATGTGGCTCAGCCTCGGACCTTCCTCTCCCACGGCCAGACCTCGGCCCCATTATCCCTGCATGGCCCGCGGGCTTCCCATCGAGCCCGGCGGCCTGGGGGCCACGCGGACAGAGAAGGGGGGGTAGGGGAAGGGCTGTCCCTGAGTGGGGGTTCGGGAGAGAGGGCAGGCGGCCTTGGGGCATTTCCGAGGCCCCTCCCCTTCCCTCTCAGCAAAGGAGAAGTCCTGCTGCTGATCCAGCTTCCGGGGCCCCACGTGCAAAAGGGGCCCAGGTGCAGTGGACGGTTCCGCCCACGTGGTCACCATCGCCCGAGGAGAGGAGCCGAGAGCAGAGGCAGGCGCTTCCTCCCGCCTCCGGTGCCGGCGCTGGGCTCTGCCCGCGGGCACACGCCTCACTGATGTGGGCACACGCCTCACTGATGTGTGACCGTCGATGGAAAGTCACCAGCCCCGCAATCCGACCAGTGCAGCAGGGGGGCCGCGGGCGGGGCAGGCCTCTCAGACCACCTGGCAGCAGGTCTGGCTCACGTTACTGGGCCTGGACACGCCCCGGGAGACGGGAGAGAGGCTGTTCCGATGGCCCCTGACACTGGGTCGCCCCCTCCAGGGCACCGAGCCATTCTGTCCACGCTGCAGCATGAATGTCCATAATCAAATGATAGGTTTGGTAACATTTTCAGAAAAAGTTTCCGAAATGGCTCCTAATGAAGCGGCATGCACAGTGCGTGTGGGTTCTGCCTGCGATCTACACTCCTCAGTGGGGTCGGCCCCCGTGGCTCCTCACGTGAGCGGCACCTGCTTTGTGCAGCGGGAGACTCATCCCCGCGGAAAGGGAACCCGGGGACCGTGTGCGGCTGCTGCTGCGCTTCCGTGGGAAGACGGAGCCTCGCGTGGGTGGCGAGTCCAGGCCTGAGGGCTGTGGCCATCGGCCTAGAACCGAGACAGACGCTCGGCACCTCCCACCATCGCTCCTACCAGCACCGGCCGGGGGTGGAGCGCGGGGAGTTAAACCTGAGACGGCTCCGTCCCTCCCAGCGGCCTCGAGCTCCCGAGATGCCAGGCCTCCGGGAGGCGGCTCATGCCGCCCGCACGCTGCTGTGCGCGGCCCAGACCGAGACCTCGTGCTGCTGGATTTCCCGGCACAATCGACGCGAGGCCGGGAGCTGCCCAGACCTGCTGCTGTCATTTTGGAAAGAACTGTGTGCATGTGTGTGCCTATGTGTGCGCACATGTGTGTGCGTGCGAATGTGTGTGTGCATGTGTGTGCGTGCATGTGTGTGCGTGCATGTGTGTGCGTGTGGAGAAAGGGAGAGGGCAGACGCCGCTGGACACGGAGTTCCAGCGCTGACAGCGGGCCCGCGGCAGCTACACGTCGAACCAGTGGGCGCCCATGCAGGCACGGCTCCACTCGCAGCTGCAGTTCCAGCACCACTCCAGCTGGCACTGGGGCTGCGGGCACTTCATGTGCATGCATCCGCCTGCGGGCAAAGCACACGGCTGCTCTAGGAGGCGCTGAGGGCACCGCCCCACAGCCCAGGGCCGCTTGTGCATCTGCCCAAGGGGGCGCGCAGGAGACACAGAGGGCCCCGCTCCCTTTGGTGGGGGACCCCCCCCCCCAGCACCCCGGGTGGGCGCAGGAGCATTGAGGGGATTGGGAATATCAGGCGGGGAGTGTCCCAGCATCTTGCTGTCTGGGCAGGGCAGGGGCCAGCTTCCCCACCCACGCGGCTGGAGTTATGAGCGCTAGTGGCCATAGGGCAGCTGGGCGGGGAGACGTGGCTCAGGAGCCGGGAGTCTGATGGGCGCCGAGGCACTGCGATGGCTCCCACGTCTGGGGCTGAACTGCCCAGCCACGAGGCCTCCCGGAGCCCCAGCCACAACCACAACCACGCACAGGCGCCCCGAGAGGAGCGCACAGCCCCTAGTGCGGGACTCACCGTTCTTCTCCACGGGCACGTGGCAGCGCGGGCAGGGCTTGGTGGTCTTCTTGATGGTCTCCCGGGAGGACTCCTCCCAGCGAGCCTGCTCGGCCGCCCTCGCGTCCACCCGGTAGGCCTGCGGGAGGAGAGGGAGTGAGTGCGGTCTGCAGAGGGCGCTGCGGCCTCCCTCCAGGGGCACTGGGAGGGCCTCCGGGAGCACTGAGACTGGCACGGAGGTTCTTAGAGATGGAGGCGCCCTCAGGCAAGAAGCCCAACGGTAAACGCCCCCAGGAGTGAGTGGTGACGGGGCTGGGCGCACGGAAGGCGGGCCTGGGCACACGCTGTGCTGCGGGCTGAGGAGGGATTCTGACAGCGTGGAGCCCGCCTCCCCGAGGTCTTGCCCGCGTCCTTCATGAGCGTCCCCGACATGAATGTAAAGTCTTTCTGGAGGGACCGCAAGTGATGGGCAGGCGCCTGTGGCTTCGGGACCACCTAGCGACGTAACCAGCAGAAACCAACAGGGGGTGGGGTGGGTGGGGTGGGTGGGGTGGGTGGGGTGGGTGGGCCCAGAGATGTGAATTCTGAACACGCCTGGAGGGCGGCGCGGCACCGGGAGTGTGGGGGACCCTTCCGCTTGCGCCCGAGGGGGGACATGCCTAGTTGGGTGTCAGTCACCCAGCCACGGGGCGAGGACTTTCTCTTGCGTGTCTGGGAGGTGGGGGCTTCGTGCGACTCAGCATGATGGACCCCCGTGCGGTTCTGTGGGTGCTACGTGGGCTGATGGTGCAGAGCGCTGCTCCCCTGAGCGTGGGAGGAGCGCCGATGAGGGCAGCGCAGGGGCGGGCAGGCCTCTCCTCTGTACTTGACGGCTAAACACAGCGATTTGGTAATTTCCTATCTATCTTCAAGGTTGCTCCGCAAGGTCACGTGTGGGCATGATGGCTCAGGACGGGACCTTGGTGCTTGCCTACAGGGTGGTAGTTGTCCCGTGACCTTTGGGGGTGTCTGAGCACGGAGGTGCTTCAGAGCAGGACGTGGCGCCATCATGCCTGGGTTCAAACCCCCGCTCCGCTCTTCGCTTGCTGTGTAACCGCGGACACGGCCTCAGCGCGGCCTCCGCTCACCTGTCCGTGTGATGTGCATAGCAGCGCCTCACAGGTAAGCGTTATGCGTGAGCTGAGTGTGCAAAGAGCTTAGCACAGAGTCCGACGCGCCCTGAATGCGATGCTGGCATTTCCCACGATCATCAGCATCACCATCGCGGTTCCCGATGAGACGGCCTGGGGGTTTGCACTGGAAAGACCACGGAGAGGCTGGACAGGCCTTCATTCTGTTTTAAAAAGTGCAGGTGCCCGCCTGCCCCTGAGAGGTTTTTAAATCTGTGCCAAGGAGACGCTGCTGACACACACGTAAGTTAGAGCAGCCGCAGAGACTTCACACGCGCGTTCCTTCCCTGCCGCGACATCGGTTTAGTGCAGCCGTGGGCAAACTACGGCCCGCGGGCCGGATCCGGCCCGTTCGGCTGTTCTATCCGGCCCGCGGAGCCGAAAGAGCGGAGGGTTCTCTTGCTCTCCCCTCCGCTCCTTCACCAGCAGCAGTGTTAACATGGCAACCTCGGGAAACACGGCCGCAGCTCCTTCTTCTGAGTCCAGTTTAAGAACCCATTGTGGCCCTCGAGTCAAAAAGTTTGCCCACCCCTGGTAGTCAGTAATCGGACAAGTGTCTCTTAATTCCCAAAGTCAGTTTACATCCATTTTTCAGAAAGGACCAGATCGCCGTTCACCGCACAGAGGCCTCATTCCGGTGTGAGTGTTCCAGGGGAGTCCCCGCTCTGAAAGGTGGCCTTCCCCACCCACGCCCAGCGCCCAGACAGCACTCACTTGCCCCCAGTTCCTGCAGAACAGCCTCCGACTTCCCAGCCACAGCCTGTGAGCAGCCCGCCCCCTGCTGGCGAGCCGGGCCACTGCCTCACCTCTCAGCCACAACGCTGTCAACAAAGCTGGCTTTGTGAGTCTCACATTCTTGAAGCTATTACTATCCCTTGTGGGGGACACACACACACACACACACACACACACACACACGCACACACCTGTCTATCGAGGGAGAGAGAGAAGGCTATCAGAGCACTGGGAAGTGACGGAGCGCCTGCAAGGCTGGGCGGGCTGCGGGCGGCGCGCTCTTTGGTAGTTCGAGCCTCCCAGCCGCGCTTTGGAGCGGGTCTGGAAGGACAGTTTTGATGATGACACTACAGCGGGGAATTCTGTTATTGGTGCAGGGCATGCTGGCCACCACTGCGGGGTTAGAGCTCCTTAATGCGTCACAGAGGGGAGAGGGAAGGGCATAATGCCATTTGCCCACTTTGAGGTTGGTGGCGACAGGGAACCCCATAGATGCATTAAGAAGCAGGATGATTCCCTGGTCGGGAGGCTCAGCTGGCTGGAGCGTTGTCCCATGTGGTTCCGATTGGGCACATACCCAGGTTGCAGGCTTGATCCCCGGTCAGGGCACACATAGGAGGCAACTGGTCAATGTTTCTCTCTCCCATCGGTATTTCTCTCTCTCCCCCCTTCCTCTCTCTTAAAAATCAATAAAAAACATATCCTTGGGTGAGAATTAAAAAAAAAAAAAGAAACAAGGCTATTAATGTATCATTTGTTGGGAATTTTAAAATGCTTTGTGTTCAACTACTGTTACAAATCGATGAGCAGGGAAGTCTGCCTTAAGCAAGGAAGGAAGATGAGCGAGCGGGTGTTTCTGGTCACAGGGGTCTCTGGCTCACGGCTCGCTCAGGCCGGTAGTCGCCAGCATTAATACAGGAGAGACGCACGAGAACCATGCACGTGAACCCAGGCCAGCAACTTAGGTCGGGCGCCTGCTGCGGGCTGCCCGACACGGCACTTGGCTGGTCAGGGAGGCAGGCCGACCACAGGGAGCTTCGGGCAAAGAAAATTCCTGCAGAGATTGAGGGACAGCCTCTCCCACCCCTGGCGCTCACCCTCACCAGGAAGGAAACTCAAGGCCGAGGAGAGACCAGCGTTTCCCTCTCTGTCCCCATCCCAGGACCCTCCACAGCAGCCACGAGCAGATACCTAAGCTCAGGCTCTGGAGACGGTCGGGGTCTCCCTTCCCTGGGGAGGAGAGTAGCTGCTTCACCCGTAAGCCCTCTTTCACCTTGAACTCCATGCTGGCTTGCATTTGAGCTCTTTCCTGAGCGAAGCCAAGACCACAGCGGGTCCCGGGCCCCCCAGATGCCTGCCTCAAACGGACCACACAGACGGGACTCGGCGTTGGGAGCGCCACTGCGGTCAAGAGGACCCAGAGCAGAGGACACAGCTCGGCCTTTGTGCAGAGCGAGCGCTTCTGGGACAGAGCAGGCCCTTGTATCCTGCGGGAACTGGTACAGGGACCCATTCATCCAGCCGCCGCGCTGGGAGCGGGTGGCGCCCAGGCACCGCGCTGCGCACGAGGGACACATCGGGGAACAACGGGTGACAGACGCACGCCAACAAGCCCGCGCCCGCGGTGCTGCCACGGTGATGGCCGTGCCCTCCACCTGGCGGGGGGCATCGCCCGCGGACCTGGCCGGGCACAGGCTGCTGCAGCCCCCACGCCTCCCAGGGTCACACCAGTGCGTCTGGGCGGGGCCCAGGAATGTCCAGGTGACACGCGTGCAGCTAGTCTGTGGGGGACCCTGTGAGAGGCCCTGCCTGCGGGAGGTCTGTGTGCTGTGGGCACAGGTGGGAGGGCTGCGCGCCCTCTCCCACGCTGCCAGTCCCAGCCTGAGGCGCCCTGTGGGCGTGGGGTGGGCGAGCTGGGAGGCGGGTGAGAGAGGACACAGCTCCTTGCTCTGCTCACTGTGAACGCCAGGCCCCGGGCGAGACGGACGCGGGCATCGCCTCGTTCAGTCCTTCTCGCGGCACAACCTCCTGCTGCAGATGAGGCGAGCGTGGCTCATAGTGGCTATCACAGCGCGTGCCTGTCAGGGCTCTCGGAGGGAGAGCGGGCAGGACAGGCATGGGCACATAGAAGACATGTGGGTTTATAGAAGGAACCGCTCACGGGGCTGTGGGAGCTGGCGGTTCCACGTCTGCAAGGCAGGCCCGCAGGCTGGGCCGCGGCCGTCTCCGTGACAGCCTTGAGGCGGAATCCCCTCTCACCTGGGGCCCTCGGTCTTTGCTCCCAAGGCCTTCACCTGCTCGGGTGAGGCCCACCCCATTGTGAGCAACCCCTTGACGTAAAGCCAACCGACGGCAACCATACCTTCCACCCCTTCCAGCAGCACCCGGACCCGTGTTTGCCGACAGCCGAGCACCGCGGCCTCGCCAGGTGGACGCGAAGGGGACCCTTGCAGCCAGCCAGGCCCGACTCATTCTCAAGACCAGGCCCGCTGGGCTTCCAACCATGTGCCTGGCCTCGGACTCCTCCAGGCCACGGCGGGCGGAGGAGACACGCACAGCTGGTCCTGCTGACGGCATGACGCAAACGTGGAGACCGCGTGGCCAGTGTGAGCGCCGTGCTTCGTGGGAAAGGGGGTGCGTGGACAGAGTGGGAACCAGCTCCCCACGGAGTCTACTCGCCCCTGCGGACGACGGCATGCCTGTCCCGCCCCCGTTTTCATCACTGAGGGGCTGGAGGGGTTCCAGCAGCCGGGGCCCAGCTCGTCTTTGCCCAGACATGCTCCCGTGGAAACAGTCCTGCTGTTTGAAAATGGCAAACACTCCTTTCCCTGTCATTTCGCTTTGGGCCACCATTTCTTGCAAAACATTCCATTCATCTCCCTTAGGGAGGCAGCGCCATCTGGTGGAGGAGAGGCGCTCAGCAGGTGCTTCCCCTCCTGCATCAATGCAGAGAACTGCAGGCGGCGCCCCCTCCCCGGGCAGAGAGCAGTCTCAGGGTGAGAGTGTGTGTGCGTGTGTGTGTGCATGTGTGTGCGCGCGCATGTGGTGAGAGTTACGTAGTGGGTGTGTATGTGGTGTACATAGTATGTGTGTTCTGTGTATTGGTGTGTATGCGTGTAGTGTGTGTACATGTGGTGAGAGTTATGTAGTGTGTTTTGTGTATGTGGTGTGTGTGTGTGTGTGATAACTGTGTGTGGTGAGTGTGTGCATGTGGTGAGAGTTATGTAGTGTGTGCGTATGTGGTGTACATAGAATGTGTGTTTTGTGTATTGGCGTGTGTGTGTAGTATGTGTGCATGTGGTGTGTGTGGTGAGAGTGGTGTAGTGTGTATGTGTGTGGTGTATATAGTATGTGTGTATCCGTGTGTGAGTGTATGTGGTGTATATAGTATGTGCGTTCTATGTATTGGTGGAGGGTGTGTAGTATGTGTGGCGTGTAGGGAGTGTGGGGGTGATAACAGGTTTCTGTGAAACACTCCCCACATCACCAGATGCTCTAAACGGCGTGTTTCTGAGTCTCAGACGGGACGTGACTTGCGTGTCCAGGTGAGGAATGGGCATTTAGTGCTTTTCCAGCAAGTTGGCCAGGGAACTTGGCCCGCTCTGACGCAGCGTGTGGGGCAGCCTGCGTTCAGGGGCCTGCCTGGGTGTGAGGACGGGCTCTCTGGACGGTGCCTCGGGGGAGGGAGGAGGTAAGAGAGCCAGGGCACCTGGCAGCGTGCCCCTCAGTGAGGACCCGGCTGAGATGAACCTGGGGCTGGAGCCTTTCCCACTGTGGGTCCACCTGCCGCCGACTTCCCAAACTCCCAGCTTAGAGCTTTTCAACATTTTAAAACCAATGTTAAACCAGTCATTTTAGTATTTAAAAAATAACGCACAAGGTCCGGACGACATGGCTCAGGGGTTGAGCGTGGACCTAGGAACCAGGAGGTCACGGTTTAGTTCCCGGTCAGGGCACTGGCCCAGGCTGTAGGCTTGATCCCCAGTGTGGGGTGTGCAGGAGGCAGCCGATCCATGATTCTCTCTCATCAATGATGTGTGTCTCTCTCTCCCTCTCCCTTCCTCTCTGAAATCAATAAACATAGATTTAAAAACACGCATTAGTAAAAGGAATGCATTAAGTTTAGGGTCAAGGAGTCTAACCGACGGGAACGCCTGATGGGCACAGGAGACCTGGGCTGGCCTGGCCGGACGATGGGCATTGAGGACAGAGAGCGCTCAGCCTCAGGGAGAGCCGTGGGGAGCGGCCATGCGGCTGAATCCCACCTGAGAAGCGTGTTGAAAGGAACGGTGACCAGGCTAGTGAGGGGGCTGTCAGAATCACAGACACGAGGCTGCCCGAAACCTTCAGCTTGAAGGGGTGCAGCTCCGTTCCCACTGTTCGCTGTGGCAAGTGGCACCCCGCAAAGCCTGTGGCTGGGGGACCGCAGGGGGCAGCCGCCGGGCTCGCTGCTGGTCGAGGGAGCCGTAGGGAACGGAAACTAGACTGTGATTAGACGAGTAACGGAACCCGGCCTTTCAGTCGATGACTCGCTCCTTTGGTCCGCCCTTCCCGTGCCCAAGGGTCGCTGTGGCTGAACTAAGGACGGTGGTGGCTGGCGATTAGTTCACGGAGAACGTCCCGTCTTCTTTTCCTCCTCTTGACGCTCCTGACAGCCGTGTCAGAGACTTCTGCGGTTCCGGTTCCGTTGGGTGACTTGCTCTGTTCTCAAATCCGAGGGGTGGGAGGCGGCCCTGGGATGAGGGCTCCAGGCGGGAAGCGGCCGCGTTGCCGGGAGGGCTTGAGCAGGGCCTTCTCCCTTGACTCTCCCTTGGTGCCCCCTCTCCTGACTCAGCTCCCCCTCTCCTGACTCAGTGCCCCTTATCCTGACTCAGCACCCCATCTCCTGACTCAGCACCCCTTATCCTGACTCGGCGCCCCTTATCCTGACTCAGCACCCCCTCTCCTGACTCAGCGCCCCCTCTCCTGACTCAGTGCCCCCTCTCCTGACTCAGCCCCCCCTCTCCTGACTCAGCGTCCCCTCTACTGACTCAGCGCCCCCTCTCCTGACTCAGCCCCCCCTCCTGACTCAGCGCCCCCTCTCCTGACTCAGCGCCCCCTCTCCTGACTCAGCCCCCCCTCTCCTGACTCAGCGCCCCCTCTCCTGACTCAGCGCCCTCTCTCCTGACTCAGCGCCCCCTCTCCTGACTCAGCCCCCCCTCTCCTGACTCAGCGCCCCCTCTCCTGACTCAGCGCCCTCTCTCCTGACTCAGCGCCCCCACTCCTGACTCAGCCCCCCACTCCTGACTCAGCCCCCCTCTCCTGACTCAGCGCCCCCTTTTGGGTCTCCCCGCATGTGGACGGACTGAGGCGTCTAGTAAAGGAATATCAACTTCGTGACTCAGGGACTTCAGCCCCCGAGCTGACCACACACCTGACCCATCAGAGCGGGTTAGCACATCTTTCTTGAAGGGACGAGAGAATGGCTCTTCGTGTAGATGCCACCATCACTCAGCAAACACCCGTTAAAAGCCCACGGAGCAGATGCTGTCTGGGGGCTGGGGACGCAGGAGGAACTGAGCGCCCAGGCAGCGCCCTCTGCTGGAAGGCTTTGTATCTGACCTCACTCTCCTCCGGACACACTGACCCACCTTCCGTGACTTTTGCGGGGAAGCATCATACAAAGGCACGTATCTCCCAGACGTGGTGAGCCTGTCACTATCACTGTTTACTGCCCAAGTCCCCCCGTGGCTCCCCTCTGAGCCTCTGAGGAGAAACACAGGGGCTGCATCCTCCAGGAGGGTGACTGGCCTAGACGGACCCTTGGTTTAAGTCGGCTAGTGACGTGTCTGCGACACAGGCCCGCGGTACCGGTCCTCTGTGCGGAAGGCCAGCGCTCACTCCTCCCATTCCCCCCAGCGAACATGAAGGCTTCAGTGGCTTTAAAAAAATGTGGGTTCCGTCGACCTGTAACGCCAAAGTTGGCTGGTTCCTCTTGAATGGAGAGCGAAGGAGGCGACTGGGTGGGCAGGGCACCCGGGCAGCTTTGTGTTAGATGATGCTCTTCTTTACTGACTCCCACTGTTTTACACGAACAGGTGTGGGGGCACCGCTTCCTGGAAGCCTTTGTCCATGCCTGTGGTCATCACAGGATATGGCTGGAAGGTGCAAGGCCAAGTCCATTTCCCAGGGCCCCAGGCTCTACCCTCCGGGGTACAGTGACCCTGAGGTGCGGGCAGGGTGGTCTCAAGGTCATTATCCAGCCTGACATCACTACCCAGTGGCTCCCATGTGAATGCTCCTGGGCCAAGACAAAGTCAGCAGAGAGAGCTTTGCCGCTTCTGCTACGGAAACGGCAATTCAGCCGAACATCCCAGTGTCTCGGGCCAGCACTCAGAGGCTGGCGAGAAGCCCGACGCCAGTTATGTGTGTTTAATTACACGAATACCGAGTAAATACATCTGCAGAAGGCGTACGGGGACATACTTCCTTACGCTCTGACTTTGCAGCATTCAGACACTTAAAGTTCTCTAGAGTAAAATTAAAATGTTCTGGAATTTCTATGTTGATTTATGAAGCTCCTGTCAATGAAATGACTGAAGGATTTACCCGGGCAGATGTGGCGTTTAAACCCTTGCTAACGTCTCTATCAGGAGAGAAGAATGAGCAACCTCGCCGGCTGTGCTGAAGGGGCGAGTCCTTGCCCCTGAAGCTGGATGGATCATCCTATATAATTAAAGCCTAATATGCTAAGTGTCCAGTTGTCCGTTCAACCAATGAAAGTGTAATATGCTAATGATATGGTAAGGCTGCTCAACAGCTCACTATGATGTGCACTGACCACCGGGGGGCAGACGCTCTGACCGGTAGGTGAGCTTGCTGCTGGGGTCCGGCCAATTGGGACTGAGCGAGACACGTCGGACACGCCCTGGAGCCCTCCCTCGTCCCTCCCTGGCTGGCCAACCTCCCGCATCCCTCCCCGGCCCCGTTCGTACACCAGTGGGTCCCTCGGCCTGGCCTGTGCCCTCTCACAATCCAGGACCCCTCAGGGGATGTTGGAGAGCCAGTTTCGGCCTGATCCTGCAGGCCAGGCCGAGGGACCCCACTGGTGCACGAATTCGTGCACTGGGCCTCTAGTACTTAATAAATAAGAGAGAACGTAGCTGCGTTCCCTGAGGCCTGACGCAGCCCGGAGAGGCTCAGTGGACAGCGCTGTTACTGATCGAGGCTGAGCCCCCACCCAGCATAGTTCACCACGTTGCTAAACAACCATGATATCCCTGCGCCGCTTAACACTTCTAGCATTTCATTCATGGAGGCATTTCTGCCAAAGAGTCTAAGCAAAGACGCCTTTGAGAGGAATAAGCATGAGGTGAGTATGGCTTCTCCGACTCAGGGGTGGCTGCCTGGTGTCACGTCTCTTGTGCGGACTCTCTGATCTGCTGTGTCCCTCACCCCTACCCCCTGCACCTCTGGGAAACACAACATGGAAACACCTGCGCCCCCACACGGGGAGTCTGCGGCTCCACCCTGAGGGGCGAGGTTCTGGAAGGATCCGATGGCCCAGGAGCCACTGCCCCCTTCCCAGGCTGCAGGCGCCCGGCCCGGTTCTTGTTGATTCCGAGTGGAACCCTCCAGGACCTTCAGGACAGAGCTCTTCCCTCCCACCCACACTCTGAGCCCGAGGAGGATGAGGGCACCTTACCTGAGCGGCTGCCCCTGAGGCGGCGGCCAGGGCGCTGCACTCTCCCTCATGGTAGGCGTCCTTACAGTCGCGGCAGAAGATGAGCTGCGGGAAGACGAGAGCACATGGGTGTCAGAGGGGCTCCTGCCAGCTGTGGGAGCACACGGGTGTCAGAGGGGATCCTGCCAGCTGTGGGAGCACACGGGTGTCAGAGGGGATCCTGCCAGCTGTGGGAGCACACGGGTGTCAGAGGGGCTCCTGCCAGCTGTGGGAGCACACGGGTGTCAGAGGGGCTCCTGCCAGCTGTGGGAGCACACGGGTGTCAGAGGGGCTCCTGCCAGCTGTGGGAGCACACGGGTGTCAGAGGGGCTCCTGCCAGCTGTGGGAGCACACGGGTGTCAGAGGGGCTCCTGCCAGCTGTGGGAGCACACGGGTGTCAGAGGGGCTCCTGCCAGCTGTGCAGAGCACATAGCTCGCAGCCCTCTCTCAGGGTGCTGGTTCTGCAGCCCAGCCGCCATGGGGTGGCCCCATGGGGAGGCCCAGGGGGAGGCTCTCGGCCCTCCAGCCCCGCTGAGCTCGGAGTGGACAGCCGGCTGGTGTTTGAGCCCCGTTTCAACGGATCCTCTGGTTCCTGGCCAAGTGGCCCTAGCCCACCCCTCAGGGAGCAAACTGTCTTCCCAGGACTCTGCCCAAATGACAGGGTTGTGCGGAAAACAAAATAAAGCAATGCAGGAGCCAGACTGCTGCTGTTTTCAATCACAGAGTTTTGGGGTGTTTTTTGCCGGCAACAGGTGACTCTAGGGCAAAGGTGACGGCTAGGGCACCCCCCCGAGTTTCTGGAAAACGCAAAGTTCTAGAAACTTGAAAGCTCTCCAGTGAACACTGCGCATCAGCCAGGAAGTTAGCTGTTTTGCTTAAGGTGAGCTGCTTTGAACGGATAGAGAAAACCCCAAACCAACAGGATGTAGAAAACAATCATCTTCATTCCTAAACCCTCCCGCGTGCCCCTCCTGCCTCAGAGGACAGATGCCCGAGACAGTTCCCCTCAGGCTGTGGCGCTTCCTCGCTGCGTCCAGTTTCTTGTTTTAATTGCTCACCTGGGACGACCGAAACCTCAGGACTGACAAGAAAGTCACGTTGTGTGGCTGTGTATGACTATGACTGTGTGTGTGTGTTTGCTGTGTGTGTCTATGTGACTGAGTGTGGCTGAGTATGGCTGTGTGTGGCTGTGTGTGGCTGAGTGTGGCTGAGTGTGGCTGAGTGTGGCTGAGTGTGGCTGTGTGAGACTGAGTATGGCTGTGTGTGGCTGTGTGTGACTGTGTCACTCTGTGTGGCTGAGTGTGGCTGTGGGTGGCTGAGTGTGGCTGTGTGTGGCTGAGTGTTGCTGTGTGACTGTGTCACCCTGTGTGGCTGAGTGTGGCTGTGTGACTGTGTCACTCTGTGTGGCCCTGGGGCTGTGCTGTCCTGTCACTCAGCAGATCTCACTGTGTGATCTCACCCACTGCTTCCTGTGGAGGCCGGGCTGCCCGGGGCCTGGCAGGGCACACACGTCACGTCCTATCAGCCAGTGGATGAGACAGGAAATCAGTTCACGGTGGAGGAACACCCGGACCTCGATCAGTTTGTCAGAAGGAAGAGGCCTTTTCCGACAGAGACACGAAGTTCCCTTTCACACGGGGCCGGAGAACCAACAATAAAGTACCAAACGGAAAGGCGAGAGCACAGACTAAGCCCGCCACTTCGATGTGGCAAAAGGCCGCAACGCGGCAAAACGACGCAGCGGGGATCGGCCGCGATGCCCGTGGCCCTGCACCGCTACTAGAGAGGACAACGGAAATGCAGTCCCAGCAGGCAGCGGCTTCCTCACGGAACTAACTCCAGTCTCACACAGAAGGAGGATCTAGGACAGTGGTCAGCAAACTGCGGCTCGCGAGCCACATGCGGCTCTTTGGCCCCTTGAGTGTGGCCAAAAATACCACAAAATACCACGTGTGGGTGCGCACGTACAGTGCGATTGAAACTTCGTGGCCCATGCGCAGAAGTCGGTATTTTGTGGAAGAGCCACACTCAAGGGGCCAAAGAGCCGCATGTGGCTTGCGAGCCGCAGTTTGCCGACCACTGATCTAGGAGGTCGGATTTGATTAAAAAATGGCCGGGTTTTAAATTTCATCACCCAGAACTCAAGAATGTCCACAAAACGCTTGTGAAAATGCTTAGGTTCCAGTTCCCAAACTGTGCCCCAAGGCACCCTGCGGTGCCGCAACAAGCTCCCAGGGTGCAATGGTGTCGGTAAATTTTTGAGGCACACACAGGGACACGCGACACCTGCTGGAGACCGTGTGAGTTACTGACCAAGGCAGGTCGCGTGTCCATGTCCCTCGGGCCGCCACCCTCTTGCTGACACCCAGTGTTTGCCAAGCTGGGTTTTCAGAGGTTCCTGTGCTCAGAGCATCGGCAAGAGGCCACGTGACAACGTCTGTTTGGAGCAGGAGGTGTAGCTGTTTAAGAACAAAATAAAACATGTATTTCTTTCCATTTATATGGACTATTTTCTCCCCAAATGGCTAGTAAGTTACTAAGACATTCGTTCTTACGTTATTTGGACCAAAATAGTTAATGCTTAATTTTTTAACAAATAACTTTTACAGCCTTTAAAAAATTATAAAAGCAATACATGCCTATTCTGTGGCTCTCTGCGCTCCCCCCCTCGTTAGGTCTGATTAGAAGCAATATGTGGAAACCGAGTTATCTTGGCTCCACGAAACTTGCTCTGTGCTTCCGCGAGGCTAGTTTATAGCCCCGGCCGCTTCATCCTCGCTGACGGGTGTTTCTGTGAAGGGATCTGCAGGTCTACAGGCCTGGGACCGGGTCCTTTCCCGGAGAGAGACACCCCGGTCAGGCCACACGGGCCTGGCTCAACCATCGAAAGGTTCAAGAGCAGGATGGAGGCCGCCCCACGGAGAGAGGCCGTTGTGGCCAACAGCTTCAGCGACACCTGAGGCCCCGCGCCCTCCTGGTGGCCTGTCCTGTGGATTTGGGACTTGCCTAGCCGCCCACGACCACAGAAGCCAGTTCCTTGCAACCAATCCCTCTCTCTAGGTATGTCAATATAGATACAGATAATGAGGTATCAATATATCTGTATGCATCTGTAGATCTGTGGGGACATCTGAGCATATCTATATCTATATCTATATCTATATCTATATCTACATCTACATCTATACAGTAGGTCCTTGGGTTACGTCAGAGATTCGTTCCTATGGCGACGTAACGTGATTTTCGCCGTAAGTCAGAACCCACCTACATAAGCACCTACGTCACTCACATGGAGCACAGACACAGCAGTAATGAAGTGAAACAGTAAAGACAATGTAAAAGAAAGATAATAATTCCTGACCTTTACTTGTGGTAAATACAGTAAATAATAAAAAACATAAAGCACATATGTACATACATTGAAATGATGGAACTTTTTTTTTTTTTATAAATAAATGGGAGATGGCGACGTAACCACGAAACGATGGACGTCAAGTCCGACGTAACCCAAGGACTGCCTGTATCTATATCTATATCTATATCTATATCTATATCTATATCTATATCTATATCTATATCTGTATCTATATCTATCTATATCATCTATATCTATATCCACATCATCTCTCTCTCTATTTCTATCTCTATCTCTCTCTCTATCTCTATTTCTCTCTCTATCTCTATATAATTTCCAAATGGCTCTGCCTCTCGCTGGGATCCTCAGTTCCCATAAAAAATCCCACTGGGTCAGTTTATTTTTTAGGTCAGTTATTCGTTTTGAAAGGACTGATGTAAAAAACCACAACTATCTGAATTTTCTACGTGATTTGCAAAACTGTCGTTCAAATTCCTGTCCACGTTTGTTTTTACTTCCAAGTACCCACAGGACAGCTCCTCTTGGAATTCAACCCCCGGACCAAGTGCATCCCCGCCAGGGGGCGCCTGTTCCCTTGACCCGACAATGAACCTGGTAATTCAATAGTTTTCCCTTTGGGGTTAGCTGCCTGGGAGGCTGGTGCCAACGTCTCACTCAGCTGCTGTAACAAGCTCACCCGAGGTGCCCGGAGTGAGGCATACTGTGTGCCAGGAACAGTGCGAACCACTACTCACTAAAGGATACATTCAATAGCATTACTTTTATTTTTTCTAATAGGTAATAGCCCACTATTCTTACCATGAAAGTCCTGTTTTTGCCTGGCAATGACTATGTGTTGAATAGTCATGTTTAGGATAAATAAAGTCTTGGACCTGGACAACGTGTGAGACAACAGCCTATTATAATACGTGATGTCACACAGTAGATACTTGTATTTTTTTAAAAAAGGGATGTGTGTGTGTATATATATATATATATATATATATATATATATTTATTTATTTGAATATATTTTTATAATTTCAGAGAGGAGGGAAGGATAGAAACATCAGTGATGAGAGAAAATCATTGATTGGCTGCCTCCTGTACACTCCCCACTGGGGATCGAGCCTGCAACCCAGGCATGTGCCCTTGACCGGAACTGAACCCGGACCCTTTAGTCCGCAGGCCGACACTATCCACGGAGCCAAACAGGCGAGGGCGATACTTGTATTTTAAAAAATCAGGTACAGTTCAGTGTTTGGAAGCAAAGTCTCGACGTGACAGCACCCTGGAGCCAGAGCCCTGTCTTCCATGTATCATCTGTGTGACCCTAACATCGCTGTGTGTGACCCTAACATCGCTGTGTGTGACCCTAACATCGCTGTGTGTGTGACCCTAACGTCGCTGTGTGTGTGACCCTAACGTCGCCGTGTATGACCCAAACATCGCTCTGTGTGTGACCCTAACATCGCTCTGTGTGACCCAAACATCGCCGTGTGTGACCCAAACATCGCTCTGTGTGTGACCCTAACAGCGCCGTGTGTGACCCAAACATCGCCGTGTGTGACCCTAACATCGCTGTGTGTGACCCAAACATCGGTCTGTGTGACCCAAACATCGTTGTGTGTGACCCAAACATCGCTCTGTGTGTGACCCAAACATCGCTGTGTGTGACCCTAACGTCGCTGTGTGTGACCCTAACGTCGCT